CAAGCCCTTCACGGAGGACAACGGCAGCACCAACGTGCTCACCAGCCACAGCAGAGCAAACCGAGCACCTCCTACACCACGTGTACCGCGCCTGTTGTAACTGCCCCAGATACGGATTGCGTACAAGCTCTGAAAGCCAATATTCCAAGGACATCTTAGCTTTAATTCAAGGGAGGTCTCAAAAAAAAACCCCAAAACAACAAAACGACACTGCTCAGGTTATGCAGTTGTTTGTAGGCAATTAAGGACTCTGAAGAGTCTTCAACAGAAGATTCAAAACACTTTCCTTGTAGACTGTATAGCCTGAGGTTTTGCGCATTAATAAGGCTATTGATCATACGAGTCACAGGGCAGTTATTTATTCCTTCTCTATTTTCCATCTGACTTCATTCATTTCATTGGACGTTACATCTAGCAACAGGTCTGTGCTTTCTCTGCAGGCGCTGGACGTACACCACTGCAGACCAAACAGCAGGGAGAAGTGTGAACTGCAACGTTCCCACTACATTAACAGCTCACATTTTAAGAGCAGCCCAATCCCACACCTAAGGTAACTGCTCTCTGCTTTTTCTCCTCCTCTCCCCACCAGAAAACCCCACCGAAGCAGGGCAGGGTGTTGTCTGCAGACCCGGGTTACGCAGCAAGTCCACGCTGCATGAAGAAAAAGTGCTCTGTGAAATGCATCTCATTCTACAGAGGGCTGAATGGAAACGCAAACACTATGCTGTGCACTTCAGTACTTCAGAAGCTATACCCGTATCCTGCTGTGAATAAAATACATAAAGCAATACAACTGTTTCAAATCTCTCCTGCCTGGCAGCTGTGGACTTTGCCACTCCTCGAATACAACAGACAGCAAGCAAAGCACTTTTGTGAAAACGGGGTGGTAGCATCAAGGCTGTATCGGGTTCCTGTGGTAAGCAAAATAAGCACTTAAACTCCTCTGCACTTCAAGAGGGAAGCAGATTCCGGCCCAACCTTTCCCGTCAGGAGTCCCAGAACAGACCCAGAGTAGCTAGAATAGTCTTCTGAAACCTGGAAATTTCTTAAAAAGGAGATTGACGGTGTTTTGTGTGTGCCCTACCGACAACGTTCGGAACTCAGCTTTAGTCGAGCTGCCAACAGGGCCACTAAAATCAGCCAGTACAAGCCGGAACACATCAAGACAGCGGTGCCGTCCAGTTGCAGCAGCTGCAAGCAGCACGCTGTGTTGTCAGTGGGAGGGCTAGGACAGGCTGCTCCCTTCCCACAGCGGCGGAGAGGGGGGCCACTACAGTCCCGCCAGCACACCAAGCTGTGCCAGCGCCAGTACCGCCAGAGCAGTGGCAAGAAGATACCTTATGCTGCAGGCAGCTCCCCGACAGCAGCTTTCCTCGCTGCAGCTGAGCTTGCAGCACCGCACCGTACCAAGCCTGCCTGTCCCACAGCCCTTCCCATGCTGTTGTTCAGGGCCTGCACAGACCCCACTGACATGGGCTTCGTCTTCCTTCCAGACTGGAATCGTACTGGTAGAGCAACTCATCTTGCAAAGACTACAGTGCCTACGGTCCCTAGACTTGGAATCCAGCATCGTCCTAAATGCCACTACAGTCTCGGCTGAAAAGTGCAAGTGGAGGGTGAAACAGATACGCCCTCACACTTTTCATTTTGGGGTTGGAAGGGTCCAAGGCAAATCTCAGCTCAGAGAAATGTGGGACCTTTCCCAAGTCATTTATCCTGCTCTTTAACCTCCTGTCTATATGGAATAGAAATCCTTGGAGCCTCTGTGCAAGCTAGCTGGAGAGTCTACACGGCTCTGTAGAGCACTTGACTGTAATCCAAGCCCAGTTTTCCTTCCTCCCGAGAAGGACGCAGTACCGGAGCAGACACCCTGTCACACTCCAGCATGTGCCGCTGAATTACCCTGAAGTAAGGAGGAGAGAAGCGAGAGGCAGTTCGGCATTACTAGATACTCAAGTTCTTAAGTTTAGTTTAACAGAAATGGAGTAACATGCATTTGCCTTGCTCTTAGTGACAGCGATGTCAGCTTGCACTGGATGGTCACCTGGAACTAGGTTTGACATTTCAAATGTTACCATTAAGATCTAATCTCCAGTGCAGTGACCTGGTACAAACAGCTAAGGCATCACTATTGACCCCAACCCATTTTTACCACCAAAGTAGGGAAGCAACCCAGCTGCAGGGCAAGCGTGGGGAGAACGGCCAACTCCCCGGCTTTACACCCAGACTCAGCATGGCGCTTCTGTTCCGAGTGAGAAAATACAAGGGGAATTTCTGGGGAGAAGTTTGGCTTGTTAGGGCAATCCCATTTAGCAACAGATCTCACCAGCTGCGCAGCTAAGACACTCGAGAACTCGCTGTTCATTGCATAGGGAAGAGCTGTCTGTGCTCTTGAGCCGTATGTGGTCTGAAACCTCTTCTTGATTTCATTCAGGAAATTGAAGGCTCTGGATCGTTCAAAGTCCTGGAAGGAAGAGAGCAGAGCATGTCCAGAGCTGCATCAAGGCAGGAATAACGAAGCGTACGGGGCACGTAGCCAGTTGTAGAAAAACTGTAATTATCAGTTCTTAACAGGCATGCTGTGCATAACGCGATGGGATGTGACTGGTTATCCTGAGGTTGAAATAGCAGCCAGGTTTCAGTCTCAGCTTCCTGGACACCGGTTGGCAGCAGACTTTATTGCGGTATCCATAGATCTAATTCTGTGCCTGGTACCTTTTTCCAGTGAGGGAGAAGTTTTTCCTTCAACACTTCCATAACTGAGGAGCATTATGTGTATTTCACTGACAAGGAAAGGCTAGCCTCTACCTCTAGATTCCACTGCACTGGGGCTGCTAAGAGAGAAACTAGGCAAAACCAAGAACTTAACCTCAAAACTAACTATTCACATGCATTTCAGTTCCAGGCTTAGACTTCAAAGCTGCCACTGATGTGAATGAGAACACAAGCAGTAGCTCCAATGGGGAAAAAGGCACCTCAGATTAGCACCCACTACTGATTTTCTTTGACATACAGATACAAAAAAAAGCCAAAACCTGCAAAGAGCCCGTCTGTGCGATAGCTGTAACCAAAATACTTACATCATCTGTGATGCAGAGGTATATAATCCTGTCTTGGCAGATGTAATGAAACAGATAACTGCAGAGAAGGGGGAAAAAAAGAAAAAGTCATTTGGAGCTTCCACAGGACTAATCTTCTAGAATACACTACTGCCCGCAGGGCCTTCAAGGGCTGGAGAAGTAGAAGGACAAATTCCAGTTACCCTACAGAAAATCACACAGATGCCAACATATCCCAGCCGTCTTAGTTGAGGTAGGTGTCCCCGTTCCTGTAAGCTATGCGAAACCACCGACGTATTAAAGCATCGCCGGCCTCACACACTTCACAGGACTCCATGCTTAGCAGTAACTTGTGGGACATCCAGTTGCCAAACAACTTCAGTGCCACATTCTTCCAGCTACTTCCTTGTAAAAACAAAACCTTGACAGAATACCCAGGGGTAAGATTTATGTCTAATCCTAATCAGTGTACATACAAGCACCCGTGCACTAGTTCACATGTGACAAGAGCTGCCGTTAATTAGAGTGACCAGAAAGATACTACTTCAGTGAACCTCGCTGGTACGGTGACTTGCCTCTTTAGCCTCGTTTGTACGACCCCTGGGTTGTGCTGCCTTTGGTTTTCACCGCAAAGGCTAAGAGACAAAAGCAACCACAGCAGAAAATGAATTAGAACAATAATCAGGCTAAACAGGCTTGAATCACGTGGCTGGGTTAACTATTCATGTAAAGATGCCCTTGGTGGTGCTGAGCAAACACAGATGTTAGTTAAATGCAGCCCTCAGTGTCCTGAAAACCAGTGCAAACCAGTTCAAAGCAATATTTTCCTATCAAAATTAAACCAAGCTGTTATTTTAGGCCCACCAGGAAAAAAAAAAAAACCCTTAGTTCGTACACAACTCGACCCAAACCAGAACTGATCAGAGCATTCTAGTTCAACTCGCTGGCTTTAGCTGTTGCTTTTTTATTACATTGCCCCCTCACCACCATTTGATGCTCCAGTAGGTGACGGATTCTTCTGAGGAGTACAGCAGGACAAAATAGGAACAGAGTTACAAAAAGGCCACACAAATACTTTTTTCCCCCCTAATTAAAAACTCTATGTATCCTTTCACTTTGACATTTGTGTATTCCCGAAAGTTTCTCCAGTAAGCATGCGGGCCCTCTTACCAACCCCACAATAAAAGCAAGCTAACGAACGTGCCGCACAGCAGCTGCCTTGTGCGGCTCTAAGGGCACAGCTCAGTAGCTTTCAAACTCAGGTTTTGTATGATATAAATAAGACAACACTGAAATAAGCTTTAGGGGTGGGCTAGAAGTATAGTTTACTGCCCTGAAGGTCTGTTCTCATAAAAAAAAAAAAAAAATCTCTGCATATCCACAACTATTGCCCTTCCTTCATGGAAGGAGAGAGGTAAAGCTCGTCCGGCACTACCCTCTAGGCTCCCCCGTGACTTGTAGAAGAATCTTACCGGCAGAGACAGAATAACCCTAAGAACTCCTGATGCTAGAGGGCTGGTTTTCCTTGGAGATTATATAAAAGACACAGAAGTTCTTCTTAAAAACAAAAAAGAACTCATTAAATGAGTTTAAGAAGTTCAAACGAAGTTAAAAGAAACTCAAGTTTTTTCCTGTTTCAGACAGACAGATAGCAGGGCAATTTTCTAGCCTACAGACTGGGACCTTGGGAAGGCAGAAGGATCCCTGAAAGCCTACAGACAGGGAGAACGGCAACTCCTTGCGCTCACTCAGCTTCACAGCTTTCACGTTCTGCCCACTTACCATGGCCAAGGAAAAAAAGACGCTATTCTGTATCTCTGCAAACCAGAAACCCTGCTTTTTGACAGCAGGAAGAAGTTGCCAGCTCCAAGAATGTGTGTGTGAAAATATTCATTCCCCCCCGAACAGATGGCTAGGAACTCTTCCTTCCCCTCTCCTAGAGGGAAGGCAGGGTTGGCAGTTTCTGACCGAAGAGGTGGTTGTCCAAATGACAGAAAACGAGCCAACATAGGACTTGTCAGAAGAGACTAACTTTAGCGGAGGAGACACTCTGATGCTAAGCTCAGTGCCCAGAGCTGCAGAATGGCACCCGTATGTTTTAATAGCACAATGCAAAGCGGAACAACCACAAACTGCAGTGATCTTCTGCCGCATTTGTTAAATCCTCATCAAGGAAACAGTCAGTAACGACCAAAGGACTGCACAACTCGCAGCATGCTTTGCAAGCGTAGATGCATTAGTCACCCATCTCTCAGTGCTCCCCAGCAAAGAACAAACCAATCTCTTCCAAAATTTAAGTTTTCATCTATAAAAATGCACTACGGCACTCCCCAAACTCAACTTTGCAGTTGGTTGAACAGCACTCAAGGCAAAGTTAAAACGAAAATAACTGTACCCTTAAAATTACAGTAGAAAAAAAGATTCAGCATCCGAAGTACTTTAGACCACAGGGCAGGCAGCTTCCTCAGAAAGCTCTCCCCCAGGGACTTGTAGTGCTCCCAAGCCAGGGAAGGATGCGGGAAGACTACGCCAATTCTTATCCCTGAATCCTCAGGCAGCCAGAACAGCTTTAACGCAACAGCGTGGGCAACGCTGAGAGTCCAGCCACGCTGCCAGTTCCAAAGGCAGAGCTGAAGTGGGGTCCGACGCTTCTAAATTTGCTTTCTCCACAGTTCGTTCTTTAGTTTGCACACCAGCACATTGACTTATTTACTTTACATGTGCAGTAAGTCAGCATAGTCTCAGGTGATGTAACATCTAATCCATCCTATCAACACTGACCAAGGGCTGTTCAGAGATCTGTGCAAGCCTGGGAAAAATCCTTCCGTCCCACAGGCTGGATTTGTGGTAGCTCAGGATGACTCTACAACATCTGCCAGCCCAACTTAAAGCAACCAGGATATGTAAGTGACCTGAGAAGGGTGATGTTTTTACCTAAGGCCTTGTTCAAGCCTCAGAAAAGCCAGCAAAAGACTCCACAAGCCAGATACCAAAGATTCCAACAGTCTGATATCCAAGGTTGAGCACCCTCCAGCTCACTTTGGAGCTGTATAAAAATAGAAAACTTGATTTCATATCAACTGCCTGGGTACTTATTGCTTAAGTTAAATTCAAATCCTGGTTATGCTGCAAAGTTCTGGGGGGAAAAAGTAGCTCTCGAGCTGACTGCACATTCAATCAGCATACTGACGCAGCCAGGTACGAGTTTGGCTACACTCCATTTATTCCTCTCCTCGTGCACGTTTGCCAGTCTCTCCGCCCATACCCAGAAGAGAAGCATTACTCACTTCCCATGTGAATAGGTCAGTTTGTTGTTTTCAGACGGTATTTTTGCCAGGATCTGCTCCGTCACCTCCAGGAAGTTTCCTCCGCACCAGGCATGCTTGGCAAGGATGGTTGTGCCCCTCGCCACAACAGCGAACAGGATAGCCATGACTTCACACTACCGGGAAATAAAAACACCGCAGGAATTAGACTCGCCTTCTTTGGCAGAGAAAGCATCATAATCTTAACAGCATTCTCTCAGCCCTCAACATAACGGGAGGGAGGCATATGTTTGTTCGATACTTCGACAGGATACCATTATCAGAAAGCTTCTCTCATTTCCCCTTTTAGGTTCTGTTCAGAGCGACACCAAGACTACAATAACCTCTAGAAGAAGGTTTTTCTTATTGCAACTGCGTGCTGTCCTACAGTCTGTGATCCCACAGTAAATTTTGCCTACCTTGTTTTCTCCTAGATTTCTAGCTCTTAGTACCTTTTTTTGCTCTTTAACTGACCCTGAAGTTTTTTCTTGCTCGTTATTGAAAAAACTGCCAGCAGCCAGCAAGCTCCAGTTCGGAAAGGAAGTAACTGTCTTGCAGCTATGTTAACAGCAGCTCATTATACAGACCAAGCCCACCATCCCTAACACATGACTGCATCGGGGTCAGGCCTTGGCTTCGATTGCTATCAAACCAAAGCAGAAAAACTGCCACTCGCTTAGAGTCACACCATACACATCCCCTTGTCGCAGTCTAGAGACGCTCGCTGAGCGTACGTTGTCCCAAGACTTCCGTAACGGCACAGAATCTGCGCTTCTCAAAGCCAGAGAGCACATCTGCAAACTGATTATCCTCAGCCACACACCATTTCTACAAGCCAGCATTCTCGCATACGTATCAAACTGGACGGGTTACAGCGTGCAAGTGTTTGAGGGCCAGACTTCTGTGAAGTCTCCAGGGTTGGAAGAACATGCCTGCTGTCATATCAAGGGACACACTTAATCAGCTCAAGTATCATCACATTAATCTACTGACAGACCCAAGATTTAACATGTGAAACCACATGTCAGACCACAGCTGTGACATCTGCTCAGCTGATCCAGTACATCCATAAGCCGCTTTTCTGCTTAGGAAAAACTTAAGATGACTTTTGACCCTGCAAAAAACAAAAATCTTATTTTTCACTTTGCACTTGACTGCCCTCGTATCGCCTGCCTTATTTTGTGTCTACAGACATCTGCGTTCCGGCTGGGAAGATCACACACCTATTTCAATGCAACTGAGTAGCTCGGAGACCTCTCTAGAAATAGGTACAACAGCAGGAGTGGTTTAGCTTCAGGATCTGAAGACCACAGGCAGAAAGACTGAACACAGGCTATGCCCAGCCAGACTTTCCACCCCTCTGGCACTGACTGAAGCGACCTATCGATCTCTTCTGTATCAGGGGTCAGTCCTACCGAGCACTGTGCAGACAGATCTGCCCTGAAGAGCTTACACTTTCGTGTGAACTGATGCACAAATGATCACAGTGGAAGAGGTGGCGGAGGAACGCAGAGCTGCTAACGAGGCCGTGAAGTTGAGGTACAATCACTACCCCACCGCACTGGGGCTCACTTTGTCTGAGCTTGACAGATTCAGGCTTGGCCAGCAACAATCAGGCAATCTCCCAAGCCTCCCACAGGTTTAAAAGCTCAACGTTGGAGGGGAAAAAGAATAAACTTGTGGATTTATTCAGAAAATAGACTCCACAACTAAGCTACAACGACCTGGGAGCACTGAGGTATTCAGAGCCAGCACTGCCGAAGGGAACAGAAGGCAAAGGATGAGTTTGACAAGGGGCCACAGCAAGCGAAGCGGGAAGCAGAACAGTAAGAGCTCTCGAAGGATGCTGCTTCGGAGCAGAGCACCCAGCCAAGCGCACTCTAGCAAACCTGAGGGAGTTCATAGCGCCAGTAAAGGGGAAGGGAGAACGCACCAGACAAAGCCCCGCACCATGCAGACATGAATTCCCAGATGAGCTGTTCTCCTTTGCTCTGCCTGACTGGTAACTCAACAAAAGGGCATCAATAACGGGAGGGGGGAGGAAGCCCCAGAGCACTCAGCAGCAGCTCCCCCAAACAGATTTGCTGCTTTCGCTTCCTCCTGGCCTAAAGCTGGCACTGCTCCGACCCACGTACGTGCCCTTCACTTCTACTAAGGCACGGGGAAGCCCCTCGTGCTGCTTTGCATGGCTTGCTTCTTGCGCACCCTGTCTCAGAGCAAGACCTGTTTTCAGAACAAAGGCAACTTAATGCATTTACTTGCTGCTCTTTTTGAGATGACAGCTTCCCTTGTCCTCACTCACCGCGTCCAAGTATTCACACACCGCTTGTTTCCCTCCCACCTAGATGCCAACCTGCCGTGGCTCGGGGATTTAAACAACAGGATGTACATCCCGCTGACACGCTTGCACAAAATCTGTTAGGAAGAAGGAAGGGGAAGAGTGCCCACACTAGCAGACCCCCTTTCACTACTGGTGAAGGAATGAGGGTTTGCAAACAGCTGTCCCCTGCCTTGTCCCCCTCCCTTCCAGGCTGAAGCAAGCTCCAGCTCATTTAAAAATGTCGGTACAAAGAGGTGACAACCAGCCAGGTTTGGTTTTGTTTCCTCCCACAGGCACAGGTATGCTGGCTTGCGGGCTCACAACGGCCCTCTAACATCAAGCCTGTCAACATTACAAAAAAAAAAAACAAACCACAAAACAACCCCCTCACCAAATTTATTTCTAGCTAAGAGGAGGTGATCTTTAAACATACAGACAGGTGGTGCTTCTTACAGTCGATTAAGCAATGTCAATATCTGCCTGAAGATGATTGTGGAAGTTACACAACATGGAAAAGCAAGGGTAACAGTTTTTCCCCTTACACACTCCCTAAGGAAACTCCTCAGCACAAAGATACCCAAGGAGGAAGAACATAATCAGAGAAGAAAGTCGTGATTACTCACTGTCTGGAATACAAAAATGAAAAGAAAGTTCAAGGATGGGTTCCAGCAGAAGGAAGTAGTTCTTCACACAATGCACCCCCTGGAGCACACTTCCACACGTTATCATGGAAGAAAAGAGTGCACATGTGTTCAGAAAGCAATTGACAAGTTTATGGAGGAAAAGAATCACTATTAAACAAATATTACCCAAGCAGCTGCTCACTGGAGCCTAAGAGTTTATCATGAGTTTCTTCTATTCTCCCACTCTTCCCCAGGCATCCCACCAGTCACCGCAGAGCCAGGCCCACCTTCGGTCTGACTCGATACAGCCATTCGTAACCCTGAGAATCACTTACTCCGCAGAAGTTCAGGATTTTTTTTTTTTCCAGGGAGAAGTACTATGAAGAGCAAGTAATATCTTCAAGCAGCAAAGCAGGTGGCCCGCCAAGTCAGATCCGTGGTCCAGCCCCAGTCGAGGTTATGACTCTCGCAGTACTGGAGCGTTAGGGCTGCTCTTGCTCACCACTCTGCTCTTCTCATACAGGAGCAATTAAGAGTTATACAAAGGCCTACGAAGTCCCAGCGCTCCCAGTTTAGAGCAAACGCCTTAAAGGAGTTTAAAAACACACTTCTTCCAAGGCATCCTATCATCTCTTGCAACACTTGAACTACCAAGAACATCCCATGACAAGCAGAGAGACAAGTCATGTGCAAAGCCTCTTAGAAGCCCAACCGCAGCCTTCTCCTTCCAGCACCACTGAGCCAGCCTGCCAGCTCACACCTTGCTGAGAGCGTTTTAGAGCAGCCCCGCTACAGAAAATCCAAACTACCTTCCAGAAAGCTGGATCTAGAAAAGCCCCACAGACTGGTCAGCCTGCACACACACAAACCATTTGGGGTGCTCCCAGCACTGAGCTCTCTGACATCCTGCCACGCAAGACTTATGTGGCCAACCTAGCAGAGCTTGCCTTTTTTTTTTTTAAGCCAGCCCCAAATTGCTGCATCCACCACACGTTGATTGCATTAGAGCAGGAAAAGTAGTCAGACATTCCAGTGATATTTTGCTCCTCTGGCGTTAAAAAGCTGCTCTCGGCTCTTCAAAGCACAGTGCTCTAGACGTGGAAGTCTGAGGGTCGCAAAGTGGGACTCTAGTGCTCTAAGACTCACCTACCTCTAGTTAAACACAAGCTAAGTTACTAATCACCAGTCCCTCCCTCCACAGACATGAAGAGACCAAAAGCTTTAGCCTGATGCTCACAACATCATTTAAGATCGGAGTATTTGGACATGGCATTGAGCAGAAGTGGGGAGCTAAAGCATAAAGGAATGAGTATCTCCTTGGAACCTTCCTGCAGGAGCCACTACCTCCACCTGAAGAAGCTGAAGCAGAAGAGAAGCCAAGCAAAAACACAGACCCAACACGTTGCTAGACAAAGATGAAACAAAACTAAACCTTGGAAAACTCAAGTTAAATGCTTATCACGCCAGAGACAAGGGCCGCCACACAGCCGATTCCAATCTTGTAAAAAGAAATGATTAACTGCCATGCAACTGTTCCTAGTTTCTCCTGATTAAAGAGACAGCAGCTCACTCCCGCCTGACGAGGCTACAGAGAGAGCACACATGTTTTCCCAGCAAAAATCAATACCTGTGGCCAAAAAAAAAAAAAAGGAAAAAAAAAAAGCTTAGGCTCATCCCCTGTCCTACACCTTAGCTTTGACTAATTTAGCCAGAAGATGCAAACTACACAAACTGCACTTTATTCTGTTTTCTACTCACCCAACACCTGGTCTCTTCGGGTGCTACCAACCCCCGTTTTCCTAACAACGAGGAACTGCTGAGCAGCACAAGTCAAAGAATTTGTGAACGGTTACGACAGCACACTGGTCTGCAACAATACTAACTAAACCAAGAGGAATTCATTACGCAATCGCGTCCCTTCAGACCCACCAAGATGCAGTCCTCTGCAAGGTTTTGGCCGGTCCAGCAACTGAACCAGAACTGTGTCAGTGCGTGGTACAACACCAGGTCACAGCCAGGAATAAACAAACACGACTAAGCCTCTTCAGCCATCAGGTGACTGTCAAGTATCAAGAAACCAATCTCTTCACATTGCAGTCAGCCAATGAATAGGACCGATATAAAGGAGCAGCTGTAAAAGAAAGAACATCCACAAACCCTCCCCCTGCCACACGCTGCAAAAGATCAGCAGCCTGCAAGGCAGGGAGCGACTAACCTCAGAACTACAAAGCCCACACAAGCAAAGAGACACCTTAATTCCCAGAGCAGAACAACTCCAGATTCAAACTGAGGATTATGAAGTGGTTTGGGCAACTTCTAAAAGCCTCCGTTCTTTTAATGTTGGCTATTTGCAGAGCTCACGTGAGTGAGGTGAGAGTTCGCTAGTACCAGAAGGTGACACTCACTGATGCTGTAGGATCCCACGGTCCTGCAAGGAGACCGACTCACTGAATTCGCAGTCCTCAGCCTTACTTAGGAGACAACGGCCACGTGCCTTGCAGCGACACCTGCCCCAGCTTTGTGCAGAATGGATTAAATGAAGTAAAACAGATTAACAAGGAGCATATTTCTCTCTACAAGCAGCATCTCATGCAGCCCTGTAAAACTCATGTATTACTTCTGTTAGTAATACAAATCTATTAAACTGCTAGAGAACATCTCTCCTCGGAAGTTACAAGATTTTAATGGATTTAATTTCTGACTCTTAACCTCTTTGTATAACCTAGAGATCACAACTGTTTTCTGTCTCAACTTACAATATTGAAGGGCTGGACATAGCCAAGACCAAACCTTCCTAAAGTAAAACACACTTAGAGATATCAGGTAGGCCTTGCATGGAAAGGCTCCGCATCAGGAGGGAGAGGGGAAAAGGCTGCACCCCTCAGCCACCCAGAAAACACCACGGATCCAAAGAGCTCCTTAAGCAGTGCCAGAAGCATCTGGCAGCTAATGGAGACGAAGCACAAAGGTGAGTTGAGGATTGCACTTGTATCGCAACAGCTATTTACTCATTGCCAGTCACACTGCAAGATGCAGCGTGCTGCTGTCTACAGGGTCTCTCATGGCATTTGAGAGAAGGGCACAGAAAAAGCTGCAGTATCTTAAAGAATGTCAGAAACACAGGTTCAGTCTTCAACGTGCTGTTTAAAGCTTCAGTAGGGATGATTTCTTATTTTCAAGCGAGACACAAAACAACTTGTTTGTTGCTCTGACTTCACTGAAGATCTAGAATAAACTATCGGATGGCAGTTAAGACAGCTGGGGCAAGAAGTGAACCCAGAAAACTGCGCCCATCCTCCACCAGCAGTCCCGCCCTTGCCAGCCAAGGGGGACTCGTCAGTTCTTCTTCTTGACCAGAAGATTCACAGCCTCAGCGCCAACAAGGGATGGAGGAGTTACTGCTTATATTTCCAGAAATCCTCCTTACAGAAAGCAAGGGGCATCACATTACTGCTGGTTTTAAACGTGAAACAAGTGTAGGTGTTGCAACCCTGCAAGTTGCAAACTGCCTAACTGCAATAAGATGGTTTAAGCGCAGTGACTTCAGCAGAAAGTAGCCTAGACTTCCCTTTAACCCATCCTTGGCATCTGCAAGTTATTATTTCTTTAAAGGATATTCCAGCGTTAAGCCCTGTAGTTTATCTCAAGCTTAAAATGAACAAAAGCACAACATTCACGCGCCAGCTTAACAGAAGTTTAGCTTCCTCTCTGCCTGCACGGCTTCCTTCGGGTACCTCTGCTTCATCATGATAGAAACAAATCGCTAGATAAGATTAATCCAGCTTCTCTTCCAGGCCCATCACTTTTTCTGGAAGACAGTGTAACACGTTTTGGAAGAGGGATAAAGAAACAGAATATGACAGCTATGGAATAAGCAGCTCTCTAGAGAGGAAACACGCACGGCCTAAAGCACGCTTACTTACAGCACCCCCCTGGAGCCCCGCTGCAGGCAGAACGGTCGTTAGTTATCGCTACCCAGTCTTTAAACTCCACGCAAGCCCCTGCTCCGAGTCACAGCAGCAACACGGCGCTCCGGGGTTAACCGCAGCCCAGCAGCTCCGGCCTTTCCCCCCCCGGCCTCCAGCAGCCCGCTCCCCGAGCTCCCGAAGCCCAGCCCCGGCCGGC